CGCGCCTGCGGTCTCACGCAGGCGCGCTCTGCAACCCTACTTCAGAGTAACGCTTTGCCTGCGCGCGGCAGCCATGCCCCCCAACATCGCCGTGGACGCGCTGCCACCTCCATGTTTGGCGATGAAGACTGCAATGGTTCAGATGGGCGGCGAGTTTAGCGTGGAGGCCTCGCGCAGATGCGCCAACGGAGTGGTGCAGTCCGCTTTGAATGCGTACCGCCGCCAGTTTAACAATTGGTGGCCCGATACGGTCTACGCGAGGTACTCTGAGATGAACGACGACGGCAAGAGGCAGCGCTTGGTGTCGTACCTGCAGAATCCTGCGTCGGGCGGGTTCCGCCAGGAGGCTCTTTTAGACGACGGCGGCGGCCCGCCGGCAAGGGTTCGGCGAGTGCGCGAGGCCGGCAGCGCGGCTGCTGACGCAGAGGCAGGCGCGGGAGCTTCGCGACACCATCGCGGGTGCGAAGGGGGTGGTCTCTGAGCGCGGCCGCTATCCATGTTGCTGTCGCAAAGCCTTGCAGGCGTAGCACTTTCTCGACGACGTAGGGGGTGCGCAGGAACCGCGCTGGGCTCATGGGCGCGGTCCCCCTATCCGTTTCGGGCTCGCAAAGCGTGGCGCGCGAGTGCGACGAGAGCGAAGACGAGCGCGACAAGTGCGAGGGCGACGACGACGAGGGCGACGACGACTGCGACGACGGTTTGTGGATGCGCGCGAGTTAAACTAGGTATATGGGTTCCCTCGGTAGCGGGATTGTTCCTCCGCCGATGGGTGTTAGAGCGCGCCGGGGATCCCCCGCAGAGCCCCATGGTCGTCTGCGCGAGCAGACGAGGGTACCTGTGCACATTGGAGAAGGAGGAGGAGGAGGAAGAGGAGGAGAGGAAGAGGAAGAGGAAGAGGCGGAGGATGTGCAAAAGGAAAGACAGGAGGAGGAGGAGGAGGAGGAGGAGGAGGAGGAGGAGGAGGAGGAGGTGGAGGAAAAGGAGGAGGAGGAGGGGGTGGAGAAGGAGGAGGAGAGGAAGGAGGAGGATGGGGGAGGATGGAGGAGGGGGGCGGAGGAGGACGAGGAACAAAAGCAACGACAAGAACAAACGGATCGGGAAGAACAGGGGGACCTGGGGAAGGCGGTGGGGGGGATAGGAGCTGGGCGAGAAAGACGAGGAAGGATTCGGATCCACATCGCTGCCCCGCGCTCAGGCGAGATCGTTTTTCTGAACGACGGGACCATTTCGCCGATATTAACATGAGGCCACACTTGCAGTGGGATCACTGTTTTGAAACACCGAAAACGCTCCGATTAGAAACGCATGCGGAGGAGGGGAAATGGAGTGGAACGGCAGCGGCGATTAAGGCTATGGGTACAGAAAAGTGTTCCGCGTTGGCGCGAAAACCCAATTCTGAATGACGGGCGCAAAGCACCAACCCTAACATGATGTCGGATTTTGGAGCGGCAGCGCCACTTTGACACAGAACCGACGTCCCGACTGGTAAGAACAATATGATACATGTTTCCTTGAACCCCCATGCGTTTAAGGAATAACTTGCTCAAGACAATAACACCGCCCAGATATGTAACCCAGGGGGGGGGGGGAAACACCCATGATGAATCCTTGTGGAAGAGAAGGGCGGGGGGGGAAAGGGGGCAACGGGAGGGGGGAACGGGGAGGGGGAGGGGCAAATTAGGTGCGTTAGCGCCGCATCTGACATCCTACCCCTCCCTCCGTTCCCATCCCTTACCATGGCGTATAATTATTATACCTATTCGCGCAGTCGGATGTCGAGCAGGATAGGATCCCAAAAGGGTGCGCGGTGGATGGAGAAGCACGGCGCAAAAAAACAACACGGCAGAGCATCGTATGCCATAACATGGCGTGGCACTGCGTAGGCAATCGTTGCATCGCACAGCAAAGCAACGCAAAGCATGGCATCGCACAGCGGTGCACAACATACCATTTCAGTGCATGCCGTGCCAAGCCACCAAATGACTTGGAGGGTAACTGGCCCGTCTACAAGAGGTCAGGGCCTGTCCGGAATGCCGGCTCCATGTCCTCCGCAACCGTGCCTGTCCGATGTTGGCGTTTTCGAAAGCCAGATGGCACCGTTTGGGAACGAGGCCATCGCTGCGGCGGGAACACGATTTTGAATGACCGAAGCGCGGAAACGAGGGCGGCGCAGCAGGAACACCGTTTTGGAATAACCAGAAAAGACCGGTTTCAAAAAAACACATAGGACAAACCAAGCATGAAGTTTTGTGCGTAAGCAACAAAAGACGGAGAGGACGAGACACCCTCCGGAAAGAATCAGGGGAAAAATGATAATAGCATTCACATTGCGTTTTTGTGAAAAGGGCAAATGGAAAAAGGGGGAAGAATGGGGGAGCGGGACACAGCGGCGCAGTATATTCAAGATGCCAAATAAACCGACCGAAGAGCGGCGGCTTCTGCTTGCACGTATGTGTATATAGTTTTGTACATGTTTATGTATTGTTTAATGTATGTATGCATGTATGTATGTATGTATGTATGTATATACATATGTATATATATATATGTATATGTATATGTATATGTATATGTATATGTATATGTATATGTATGTATGTATGTATATATATATATATATGGTCCCCCCCCCCAGCACCCCCCAAACCACCAAAACCACAAAACGATCATTCATTGTTTGCTCCTCCTCCTCCTCCCTCGCCCTCCTCTTCCTCCGTTCCTCCTTTTCCTTAACTCTTCCTCCTGTTCCTCCTCCTCTTCCTTCGCCAAAAAAGACTTGCGGGAGGAGGGTGGCCACGAAACCATGCTATTCACCGTTTTTTTTTTTTTCTTTTGTCAGGGAGGCAACCAAACACTGCTATTCACAGTTTTTTGGTTATTAAGTTTTTTTGGTTGTCCGAAATCCACAAACATGGCCAGGGGGTGTTGTGGAACGTCAGAAACCAAACAAACACTTGTGAATTGCAGTGTTTGGGGAGAGCATGGCCACGAAACCATGATATTCACAGTTTTTCTTGTTTTTTTTTCGGTCCGCCAGAAAACCAAAAAAACTTGTGAATAGCAGTATTTTGTGGGAGCACGGCCACGACACCATGCTATTCACATGTTTTTTTGTTTTTTTTTCGGTCCGCCAGAACCCCCCCCCCCCCACCAAAAAAAAAACACAAAAAACATGTGAATAGCAGCGTTTGGTGGCCATGCTCCCCCCAAACACTGCAATTCACAAGTTTTTGTTTGGTTTTTGGCGTTCCACAATCCCCCCTGGCCATGCTTGTGGATCTCTGAACACCAAAAAAAAAACTATAAAAAAAACTGTGAATAGCAGTGTTTGGTTGCCTCCCTGACCGAAAAAAACAAAAACAAAAAAAAAACTGTGAATAGCACGGTTTCGTTGCCATGCTGATGTTGTTGCTGTTGTTGCTTCCCCTTCCTCATCCTCATCCTCCTCACCCTCATCTCCCTCGTCCTCCTCATCATCATCATCCTCTATTTCTTCCTCCTCATCCTCATCCCCCTCATCCTCCTCATCCTCATCCTCTTCTTCGCCTTCCTCATCCTCGTCCTCCTCATCCTCACCCTCCTGCTGCTCCTCCGCCTCTGCCTCCTGCTCCTCTTTCTCCTCCTCCTCCTCCTCCTCCTCCTACCGAACCCGCCAGGATCACAGTATGATTACAATCAGAATGCAGCAATAATTCTTCAACCCATCCCTCTTTTTCCAAATCAATGCGACGCAATGCGATTGCAGTGCAATGCAACGCAATGCGATCGAAATGCAGTGCAATGCAATGCACTGCGATCGCAATGCAATGCAATGCGCTGCAATGGGATTGCAATGCGATGCAATTTCAATGCAGCGGGGGGGTGGGGGGGTTGTTGACAAAGGGTACAAGAAAAGGGGCATCTGCAAGATGGGGAAGCACGGCGAGAGGAGGAATGAGTAACAGGATCAACTGAAGATGGTGCTGTTTCGCACAGTTCACAACCGTCGTAATCAATATGCGTGTCCGCGCACATTTCGCATGGGCATTTCTATGACACCCGCCCAACATATCGCAACGCGGAAGGTATCTACATCTGGAAAGCGAACAAGCATAAACCTGAATGCATTCACATCAGCTCGCTTCGGCCGTCATAAGCAATATGCGTCGCTGCGCACATTTCGCCTGCGCGTTCTCGCGTCACTCGCCAGGCCAGCTGCCGCTGGATCAGTCCGTAAGGTCACCTGGAAGCTCGCTCGCGCCGCCAACGCGCTCCGCCTCGACGCCATCGAGGAGCGTCTCCAATTCGGCTTCCAAGTCGATGCTATCGTCGGCCACCTCGATGGTCTCGCCGTGCGCCTGCGCCACAATGGATGCGAAAATCGCCTGCTGCTCCTGGATGTCCACGGGGGAGAGCGGCCCGCCGCAGGCCAGACCCGTCCTCCTGGTCTTCCGCGGCGGAGTGACCAGGTCCTCGTGCGCGCCGTGGTGGGTCTTGGCGAGGCTGCGGAAGATCGCCACCTGCTCCCGATGGTCCTCTTCCGAGAGCGCACCGTGGCAGCCGACGATCGGGGGCTGCACGGCGGGCGCGGCGTCCGCGGGCGCAGCCGCGCCACTCGGCGCACTCGCGTCGCCGCTCGATCCAGGAGCAGCACCCGCCTGCCACGGCACCATCATAAGCACTTTGGCCTCGGAGTTGACGGTTTCCCTCACGTGGGCGCCCCGCGCGGCCGTCAGCTTTATTTGGGGTGACAGCTCGGGCCCCCGAATGTCGCCGCCGAAGCCGAACGCGTCCTCCTCGTCCGCGGGGTCGGCCCGCGCGTCGGCGCCGCCGCCGCGGTCGGACATCCCGCCGTCGTTGGGCGCGGTCTCCGCGCCGCCCGCCGCGCCTGCCCCCCGCGGCGCCGCGGCGCCGGCTGGGGCGCTGCTTGCGGCGGCGGCGGCGCCATCGGCGCCGTCCTCGCCACCGTCGCCCGCGCCCGCTGCTGCGCGCGACGCAGCCATGAGCTTGAACACCTCCTTCTAGAAGGCGAGGAGCCTGTCGTACTCCTCCTGGTCGCGGCGCTTCCTGCGCTTGAGGGGCCGCATCAGGATCTTGCCCGCCTCGGCCGTGATGTAGCTGTTCATGGGGGGCAGCTTCTCAACGACCGAGTCCTTGCCGGCGGGCCTGAAGAAGAAATATTATTTTGCGTTGCGGGCGACGTCGCACCGCTTGAGCATGGCCCCCACGTTGCTCTCGGACACGCCCTGTGGAAAGGCGGGCCGAATCATGTCCACCAAGATGCCAGTAGTCCGCTTCGCAGCATCGGGCGCCGTCGCCGCGAACGCCCACTGCTCGGCAGTTGGTGCAGCGCTCGAATGGCACTCGTTGCCCCCGCCAAACCTGGGCAAAGACGAAGCGCGGGGCCGACCGACGCCCTGGATTCGCTTCTCTTGAAAAAGACAACAAAACCTGACAGTCTTTTTTTATATATAAAAAACCTTGAAGGCCCAACGTTTCGACTTTGCCAGCCGCCTCGCTTGGCCGCGCACGAACTTCGCGGCCCCCCAGCGCGCGCGGGTCATGGCCTCAGCCTGCGTGGGGTCAAAGAAAGCCTTGAGGACGCGAGGCCGCTGATCCGCGAGGTCGCCGTCATCGAAGATGCACGGCGCCCAAGGCTCCCCGACCTCCCCGCGGAAGAAGTCCATCTCTGCGGAAACCCGAACAGCAGCCGTGGCACGACCTGGGCGGCGTTCATTAGCGACGTCTGCATTGCGCCTCGCAGTCGCCATGGCGAGGATATACATGAACGGCGTCTTCCCGAAGCCAGCCCCCCCTATCGTGAGCAGCGTGGTGCCCGCCAGCGCCTGCAAGATCCTGTTTGCCATCGGCTGGTATTCCTTGCGGATGTCAGACTTCAGGAGAGGATAGTAGTCCTCCTTGACGGCGAAGTGGTCGCGGTCTGCGATGCACTTCAGAAGGCTGTTCGCGAACTCCCGCTTCATGCTGCACAGGGGCGATTCAGGGTCCACGAATTGGTATTCCACCCGCAGCAGCTTCTGACCGTCAAAATTTCCCCGAGGGGCCTCCGCCTGCACGAAGTCCCACGCTTTGTCCAGAGCAGCCTTCTTCTCCGCGACCTCGCTCGGGTCGGCGTCCGCAACTACCTTGGCCTTCGGCAGCTGCCAGTAGCGGAGCAACAGCCCGCCCACGTCCTCCAGCAACACCTGCAACGTCCGAGCCGTGTCGAAGGCATCGGGGCGGTAGTCCAAGACGCACGGGCCTCCTGCGACAATCTTCTCGAGGACCGCCGCCATCGGCTCGCCACCGCCAAGAAAAGCGAACGCCTTCACAACCGTGTAGTCGCCGTCTGGCAAGGACTTCGACACATGCATGCTCATCACGCAAAGGACGTCGCTCTGACCTGCATCAGAAATGCCGAGGGGTGGGGGCATGGCGTTGTACCGCCCCTCAGCCATTGCCTCCTTGACAGCGCCCCAGTTGACGCCCGAGAGGTCTTCCTTGCTCGTGATGGGACGTCGATGAAACCCTTGATGGGGCGCCTCGCCGAGTAGCTCCACTGTTTGATGGGGAGGTCCCAGACGGTCGAAGTGCCCGCTCTGTCCACGTGGCCCACCACCTCAGGCTTCGCGCGGATTCCGAAGACAGGCATGGACTTCGCCTTGTTCCAGGCCGCAACCATGACATCGTTGGTGTGGCCGTCTTTCTCCATGGGCACCCCCCCGAGGACTTCATGCCGCATGCGGGCAGGCTTGCGGCCTCCATCGGAAACGCTTTCGGCGTGGCGGACGGCGCGGCGGTGCGCGAGAAGTCGGGTGAGCCTGGCGAATAGCGAGTAAGCTTGGGCCTAGATGCGCGCGGCTGCTGACGCGGGGTGGGAGACGCAACCGCGTCGGAACGATCCCGAGAAAGGGCGGTCGAAGTGAGCGTCGCCTGTCTTCGAGAGCATTGGGTGCGAACTGTCGCCCTGTCTGATCTCGTGTTTTGCTGGGAGCATGCGGGCGCAATTTCGATGTGGCCCCAAAACGATAGTACAGGATGTTGTGAGGCGCACCGTGAAAGTAGCTATGTATCGAGATCGCGCGGGGCAGCGCTGGCCGCTGGCTGCCCTGCGTCGTCGCGCCGATGCTGCCCCGCGGAAGTGCGCGAGATCTCGGGCGAACGCGGCCAGCGACCTCGCGGCCTCAATGGCCGCGGCGCCAGGGGTCTATGAGAGGCCTGCGCGCACAGGCCAGATATGAACGGGGAGGCGAGAAACTTGAAAAGGCCTGATCACAAGAGGCAGCAGGACAAGGCGGGGGGCGCAGATGGGGGCCACGCGACGGCGGCGGCAAGGTCGACGACGACGACGCGACGACGCGACGACGGCGACGGCCACGTCTGGTCACACCATTGTGGAGACACCCTCAATGCTCTCAGACCATGCGGTTTTGACGGCCCCAGAACCAATATGCACGCCCGCGCACGTATCGCTTGGGCGCTCTCGCTGCGCTGGCCCAACATTTCGCCGCGCGGGAAGCAGCGCGGTGCCAAGGTAGGTGGCGCGCGAGACGGAGATATTCAGTGCCTCTGCCGCGACAGAGGGGATCGCTCACTCGTGCTGCTGCCGGAACAGTGCGGTAAGCATCTTGCCCGCCTGCGCCCTTCAAGGCTTTCGCCACCCACGGTTTGCCCAAGAAGTTTTTCACGGCCCTGACGCGCGCCCTGCCCATGTTGGCGATGCGCTCCCTCTCGAGCGCTGCCTTCGTCGAGGCTGGCATGGTAGCAAAAATGAACAACTTGAACCAAAAAGGGCTACGGAAACGATAGGATGCGAGAGCGAGCGCTAGCAGTGCAGAGCGCAACGGATTGTCAACTGTGATCCCACCCGCCCCCTGGGCGGAGGTGGCTCAGCGAGCCTGGTCCGCCCACCCCCCTTCTTCCCCCTAACCCCGTTCCCCCTGCGTCTGGAGAAGAGGCCCCGCGACGGGTAGGAGCGCGCAAGATAACTCCAGATGGCTCCGAGAGGGCCGCAAAGGGTCCAAGATGGTCTCCAAGATCGATCAAGATAGCTCAAGGCGGTTCAAGATAGCTTCGAACGGGCCTCGAAGAGGCGCCAGGACCGCCCCAAGACGGCTCCAAGTGGCCACTGAGCCTCTCCATGAGGATTCGGAAATGCCCAAGAGGCCTCCGCAAGAAGCATGTGGACGACAACCCTGTATCGCCCCAAGAGTGCCCCAAGAAGCTACGCATTGGGAGTATCACTCCTCCTGTTCTTCCTGCTCCTCCTCTCCCCTTCCTCCACCTCCTGTTCATCCTCCTCCTGCGCGTTCTACTCATCATCATCCTACGCACTGCGCATGTCGCTCGAGGCAGCCACATTCACGACTGCCCAGACATCCTACGCATTGCGCATGTCGCTCGAGGCTGCCCCGTGTCCCTCATTGCATTGCATTGCAATGCAATCGGTGGCAACCCAAACGATTGCAACGCAATCGATTGCAAACCATTGCAATGCAATCCCCTTCCCCCCCTCCCTCCGCTCCCTCTCCTCCCCTCCGCTCTCCCCCCTCCCTCCTCTCCCTCCCTTGCAGTCCAATCCTTTTCAATCGAACCGATTGTAATCCAATCGATTGCAACCAAGCGATTGCAACGCAATCGGTCGCAATCCACTGCAATCCAATCCCCCTCCCCCCCTTCCCTCCGCTCCCTGCCCCCCCCTCCTTGGAGGGGCCAGGAGGATGAAGAGGAGCAGGAGGAGGAAGATAATGACGATGGGGAGGGTGCTCCCACGAGGGGGAGGAGGGACCAGGAGGATGAAGAGGAGCAGGAGGAGGAAGATAATCCGTCGTTGGGGGGTGTTTGGGGGGGGGGGGGGCGAGCACATATATATATATATATATATATATATATATGTGTGGATGTATGTATGTTTATATATGTATATATGTTTCTAAATGTATACATATGTGTATGTGTGTGGCACAGAGCTCAGATCGCAGTGGAGCTGAGATCCTCCTCCCTGGAGATTGGTTTCGGTTTCGTGTTCGTGTCGTGCGTGTGGGCGTGGCGGAGCTGCTTGGGCGCGCGGGAGAAATGATGCCTGGCAAGGGGCTGTGCATACGGTTGTCCGCTCCTCCCCCCCTCCCGGCGCGTGGTGGCCAGGGGTGTCCCGTCGGTGTCCCGTTGGTGTCCCGTAGGTGTCCCGTCGGTGTCACGGTGGTGTCCCGTCGAAGTCCCGCCGTGGTGTCCCGTCGGTGTTCCGTGGTGAGCCGATAGTGAGATAGGTAGTGAGATCGATCGTGGGACCGATAGTGATATCGATGGTAAGACAAGAGCGATCGTCGCCAACTCGACTGCGCACCACCAGCATCGTCATCATCACAGCTCGCAGTCGCAATCTCATCACCCGAAAGGTTGTCGTAGAGGTATCTACGTATACATACATGACAGAGGAACCTGTGAATTTGTCGGAACCGAGGTTCGGAATTGAGCATGAGGTGGAACGGAGAACCCCCCACCAGCGCGGACGGGCGAGTCGGTTTCGGTTTCGGGTTCGTGTCACGCGAAGCAAGGCTACGTGGGCAGGCGAGAGGAACGGCTCCGCTGTGGCTAGGGCGGCTCAAGACAAAAGAGCACCCCTCCAGTGGGCCGGCGTGGTCGGGGGTGTCCCGCCGTGGTGTCCCGCCGTGGTGTCCTGTCTGTGTTCCGTCTGTGTCCCGTCTGTGTCCCGTCGTTGCCCCGTCGGTGTCCGCCCCTCCTCTTCTCGGCGCGCGGTGGCCGGGGATGTCCCGTCGGTGGCCTGTCGGTGTCTCGTCGGTGTCCCGTCGGTGTCACGTTGGTGTCCCGTCGGTGTCCCGCTGTGGTGTCCCGTCGGTGTCCCGTCGGTGTCCCGTCGGTGCCCCGTCGGTTCCCCGTCTGTGTTCCGTCGGTGTCCCGTCGGTGTCCCGTCTTGGTATCCCGTCGGTGTTCCGTCGGTGTCCCGTCGGTGTCCCATTGGTGTCCCGTGGTGTCCCGTCGGTGTCCCATCAGGGTCTTGTCGGTGTCTCGTCGGTGTCCCGCAGGTGTCCCGCCGTCAGTGTCCCGTCTATATCTGATCAGTGTCCCGCTGGTGTCCTGATTGGTGTCCCGACTGGTGTCCTCTTGGTGTCCTGATGGTGCCCCAGTGGTGTTTCGATGGTGTCTCGATGGGGTCCTGGTGGTGTCGTGTCCGGATAGGAGCCCCGATTGGTGTTCCGATGGTGTTTTGGTGGTGTCTTGGTGTTTTACCGGTTGGCCTTTCGATTGGTGACCCGATGGTGCCCCAGTAGTGTCCTGATGGTGTCCCGATGTGTCCCCGACGGTGCCCCGATGGTGTCCTGATCGTATCAAGGTGATTTCCAGGATCGCTAGTGAGATCGATAGTCGTATTCGGAGAGTGACATCGAGGAGAACCGGAGACGCCAAACGGTCCACCACCACCCGGCGCGGGGTTGATAGTGAGATCGTTGGAACGAAAGTGGTACTGACATCGGTCAAAGGAGGTCGGGCAGCTGAAATCGATTGGCCTTATTTGATGGGGACATCGACCGCTCAGCCACGGGATCGATCGTGGGATCGACAGGCGGAGGTCGACGGGGCGATTCACAGTGAGATCGGCATCGGGGTCGATATAACCAGGCTCTGCAAGGCGAGTCACCAGCATCGCCACCATCACAACCATCGCAGTTGTCCTCAGTTAGTTCTTCCCTCCACTTCCTTGTCACCCGACGGGTGGTCGTGGAGGTGCACTATGACATTATCTCTGGTTTTTATTTGTGCTGTGGATGGTCTTCTGCAGTCTGGGCGTAATTGTTGTAGCCCAGTGGTTCCGTCTTTGCCCACACACGCGGTCGTCTGCAGGCCCTCCTCGCGCGCGGTCTCGCGCGCCCAAGGTCCCGACAATCACGGGGCTCGCGGCCTTCTGGCTCGTGAGCTACGCGTCTGGCGTTCAGGTCGGCCCCGGCCTCGTGGCTGTGCGCGCGGGCTGCTCTCGCTGGCGAAGTCTCTTGGCCTTGGCCTTTCTGGCTTGCGCCTCCAGGGGCCCCTCTCCCCGAGCACCGGGTGCCTTCAGGGGACCACTATATCTCATGGAAGGAAATCTTGGGGAGGCTTGTCCAAGGAGGGTTGTATGGATCCCCGGTGGGTTGTCCAAGGGGTTGTCCAGGGTAGGTCGCTTTGACATCATGGTACCAACAGAAAAAATGTGTGTCCCGGTTGTCCAGGGGGTTGTCGGGGATCCTTTCGATAGGATGCTACATTGAACATAGTAGGCGTGACTGGAATGGGTCTTTGCACCGTCCTCCCCACCTCTGCTGTGCAGAAGTGGTTCGCGTTTGCCAAATCATTGGATCTACTCTTCATTTGTCGCCGTTTCTATCATCGTCCGTGTCGCCAGTTCACAGTTGAACGTATCGTGAAATCACATCGTCATCTCCACCAGTCCGCATCATGTTACATCATGTCACTTTCGCTCATATACACCTCATCAGATCACATCGCCATCGTGATCGCATCCTCACTCTTAATATTCTTCGTCCTCTCGTCATCTTGATGGCATCCCCACGGGTTTGCAGCGGCGTCTGACGGACAACTGTGGTCAGCAGCGTCTCAAATGACGCTTACCTTACAGCGTCTTTCCTACCACGCTTGATTTTCCCTTGGACGCCGGAGTGCTGTTGGGACGCTGGCGCTGTTTTGCGTCTTGGGTGCACATCTCTTATTCGGACCTTGGCAATGTTTGAAGGCCTGATCATGAGCATGAAACAGTCAGGCTTGAGTCGATTATTTGAGCTTCGTATTTGTAGAAACTGAGAGAATGGAGGGGGTAGGATGAGGACAAGGCCATACGAAGGAGTTGGGGGGGTGGAGGGAGCGGAAGAAAACGTGCGGAGGAGCAGAAAGAGTGTTTGCAGAAAGTGGCACTGGAAGTAGTACTAATACGACCTTGTCGAACGCGCGTGTAACCATAACCATGAAACGCGATTGCGTCTGACCTTTTCATCCATCACGAGGTAAGAGCTACTGTGCGAGGCTTGCAATTTACAAGACATGCGCAGTGCCTAAAACAACATGAAGGAGAAAGAAGGAGATGAAGGTGCAATAGTCACTTCTTTTCTGTGTCGAGTATGGTCCCTGCCAGTGTCTGAAGAGCGCAGGGGGGTTTAGTCAAAGGGTCGGGAAGCCCGACATTGAGGTGCATTCGGGCTTTTGTAACGTCAACCGCGATTTTGTTTGTTCCTGCATCGATGTGTGTGTGTGTGTGTGCTGCAGTCATGTGTTTGGTCCAGCTGGCGATTGCAATGTAGTTTTTTGCGCGTGGGAATCGCGCTGCAAACGATTGCATTACAATGATTTGGACGAGCTACTGGCCAAACCATTGTATTGCATTTGTTTGCGCTTTCTGCCGAGTGTTTCGCAAACGGGATACCCGCGAAGATCGCAACCGGTTGTGAGATGGTAACAACGCTACAAAATTCTTGACGCTTCGCGTATCCCCACCAGATTATCCCTGGTCGACACAACGTGGTACCTCGGCTGGTCGCCACTGCGTACGCTGTCATGAGGACGCGTGTGAGTGGCCTCCCCCCATGGCACCGCCGCGGCCACCGGGCCTCCCATACCCGCGGGCCCGGCCCGCATGGTACGGTTCCGACGATCCAGGTGCTGGGCTTCGGCAAGGTGCAGACCGGCGCACCTCACCGCTTCTGGTACCACCCGATATCGGGCTCGGCAAGGTGCAGACCGGCGCACCTCACCGCTTCTGGTACCACCCGATATCGGGCCTGGTTTGGGGCGTGTTCCTGCACAAGTGGTTCATCCTTTGGCAGGTCACCGCGGATCCCCCGGCAGGTCCGTCATATGTGTCCCGGTTTACGCTTGCGACTTTGTGCCCCCGACCCTCGGTGTCGGATAAGTTGCACGCGGTGAACGCCGGCGACGTCGACGACAGGGTCCCTGACTGCGGTCGTGACCTTCGCGTTGAAGCTCCTGCACAAGTGGTTCATCCTTTGGCAGATCATCAGGGTCCTCCCTGCGGGCTGGGCCAGGTGACTTGACCAGTGCTTGCAGGTTACGTCCCCCGATCCTCAGTGTCGGACAAGTTGCAGGCTATGGACTCAGACGTCACTGTCGACTGTTCCTTGACTGGGTACTGGTCGCTCTCGTGCCCAAAAGCGTCCTATGAGTCACTGTGAGTGCGGTTTCCATTTGTGCCTTCCCATTTTCCTGCTGCCGCGTGCCCTTGCGCCCGCCGTGTCTCTCCTGTTCCTTTGCTTCAGCTTTTGTTGCATGGACGGTGCGGCCACGCCTGGCCACCCCGTGCCGCCACAGTGCGGCGTGCTTCACGCCCTTTCGCGCTGTACGGTACGGTCGGAGCTTGGCGCCACGTGTGCGACAGCTCCCTTCCGTCCGCTTCCAGTTCTGTGCTTGCGTTCCCTTTTGTCGGGCCGCCAGCGTCAGCCCCCAACGAGGGTCATTTTGTACGTGGCGTGTGCATTCGCTACAGCGGCCTATGCGCCTCTGCAGCTAATTATCTCGCTCTGTGCCCTAGTCGAGTCCGTCCCGCTTCCTGGATCTGTCCTTGGAGCTGCCAATCAAAAAAGTACCCCCACCAGCCAAGCAGAAACGCAGTCGGTCCAACAAGGTACGAGACTTGCAGCATGCCCTCGTGAACTCCCTCTGTGATTTCCACGGCGAATCGCACTGGCAGAATTTCGTGAAGGACCAAGGCGGTGACATCCCCGAACTGAAGGATGAGGAAACATCCTGGCCGGCCAAGAGCCTAGTACCTTTTCCTGGCGCTGATGTACGGCCAAGAGGTGCCGGCTGACGGCCTGCAGCCCCGCGTCGATTGGGACGGTCAGCGCTGGGGTGGTAAAGCACCTGACTGTAATCCACTCCATAAGGAGGCTTGGCAGGAGCACTAGTCCTCCCTGGCGCGGGATAAGGACCCCAGCCCCTTGCGGCACGAACGCGACGTGCTCGCCAGCTTCCTGAGGAGCCTCGACGCGAGCGCCTTCGCCACGGCCGCCCTCGCCAAACTCGCGCGCCAGGACCCGGTAACAGCGAAATCGCCGCGGAGACTGCAACAGGGGGGGGAGCGGGGACCTAGCTGTCCCCCAAGCGAAAGACCAGCGAGTCCCCACGAGAGCGGCACACGGGACACCACACGGGCCAGGGCGCCCCCTCTAGGCCCTCCGGCCCAGAGGCAGACTCGGCTGCAGGTCCGGACCAACTTCAGAGCAGGCACGAGGGCCAAGCCCCCAGCGGTGAGGCGGTCCGAGGCGAAGAGCTGCCTGGTCCTTCCGTCCCGCCAAAGGATGACATCGGCTCTCCCACTGAAAGAGACCAGTCCGTAGACTTCGACGAGGAGACACCAGATTTTGGAGGCCTCTTGGGCGCTGTGGGGACGATTTTGGGGGCCTCTTGGGTTGTATTGGCTCGTCGGAAAGCCGAAACGGAGCACATACGAACATCCATCAAAAACCTATGGCAAATCAATTAGTTTGGCCTCTTCGGGCCCTCCTGGAGAACCTCTCGGGGGCCTCCTGGGCCGTCTTGGAGGCCTGTTGGGCACCTCTTGGGCCATCTTGGGCCATCTTGGAGGTTTCTTGGGCGGACTTGGAGGCATCTCCTCCTCTTGGGCGGGCTTGGAGGCCATGTTGGACCATCTTGGAGGCCATCTTGGGCCTTCTTGGCCGTCTTGGAGGCCACCGTGACCGTCTTGGAGGTCTCTTGGGGCCTTCTTGGGGCCGTCTTGGGGGCTTTTTGGGGCCGTCTTGGGGCCATCTTGGAGACCTCGTGGGCGATCTTGGGGCGACCTTGGGGGCCTCTTGGGCCGCCTTGAGCCGTCGGGATGCCGAGAAGAAGCAGATCCCAAAATCCTTCAAAAACCAACAGAACATCGATGATTTGGGCCTCTTCGGGCCTGCCTGGAGGACCTCTTGGAGGCCTTTTGGGCCGTATTGAAGGCCTCTTGGGCCGTCTAGGGCCATGTTGAGGCCATCCTGAGGCTATCTGAGGCCGTCTTGGGTAGATTATGGGCCGTCTTGGAGGCTTCTTGGGGCCATTTTAGCCGTCTTGGAGGCCATCTTGGAGACGTCTTGGAGACCATCCTGGGCCATCTTGGCAGTCTTGGACGCCATCTTGGGCCAACTGGAGGAAACAGAGGCTCGACGGATGCGTTGTGAGATCCTTTCCTGGTGGCCGGCGGGACGGGCCGAAGCCCCAGGGGGGAGTGCTTTTGGAAAAAGAACGGAACCAAAAGCCACATCGTCTGGCACGCCAGGCATCCCTTTGATACATCAAAAGGGGGCGGCAGATCCTAGTGGCCTTCGGCCCTTCCCGCCACCGTGCCTGGGTTGTGGGTCTGAGAGCTCTTGTATATGTGTTGGGATCTCGTGGGGGGCCTTTCGGGGGCCTCTTGGAGGCGGTCTCTTGGGGCCTCGTGGGGTATCTTCTGGGCCTCTTGGATGCCTCTTGGGCGCGTCTCAGGCGCCTCTTGGGTCCTCTTGGGGCCTCTTGGCGGCCTCCTGGGGCACACATTGGAGTGTTCGGTTTGTAGTCCCCTGCTTGGGCCCCTCTTGGGGCCGTCTTGGGGTGCTCTTGGGCCGTATCGGGGCCCTCTTGGAGGCGTCTTTGGTTGTCTTGGGGCGGTTTTGGGAGCTTCTTGAGCCGTCTTGGAGCGTCGGACAGCCGAAACTGCGAGAAAGCGTTGACCATTTTCGATTTGGGCCTCTTGGGGCTCTCTCGGGGGGCCTCTTGGAACGCTCTTGGAGCCCTCTTGGGCCGTCTTGGAACCATCTTCGGGCGCCTTGGTGCACGCTTGGCCTCGGCAGTACGGATGTGCCGTAATTTGCAACGGTTTACGGCTTCGGGGACGCGATCATGATGTCATTTACTAAGGTTTGTGGCCTCGGGGACGCGAGCATTGCGTACTTTACGAGGGTTTGTGGCTTCGGGGACGCGAGCATTGCGTCATTTACTGAGGATTACCTGGCTTCACGGACGCGACTCTCATGTATTTTCACATGTCTCACGCCCCCCCGGGAATTCAGAGCACGCGATCCGGGCGTGGCAAATAGGTTCTTGGGGCTCGCCCCCTCGCGCGGACCTAAAGACATTGCAGTAGGAAGCAGAAACCATGACTGTAACATTGGAGACTTGAAACTGCAACTGGAACAGGGAGCAGCATACTTTGTCCTACAGCCTGGTGGGCCCACAAGGTGGCCTGCTGATGCTTCCTCCTTATTGTTTTTCTGTTTCGTCTAATTATTATAGTGCTTATGTTTGTTATCATGTTTCTTCTTTTTCTTCTCCTTCTTTTTTTTTGTTCGTATTCTCCATCCTCGATTTGGCTTTCCCCTTCTTTCCGCCTTGCGCCGCCTTTTCGTTGTCTTCGCTCCAGCTCCCCTCGTCTTCTTCGTGCTCGTTGTCGTCGCCGTCGCCGTCGCCGTCTCCGTCGTTCCCTCCTCGCCCCTGCCCATTCCGTAGCCGTGGCGCAGAGAGATCCCCCTCCAACAGCGCCCTTCCTCACATGCCGCCGTCCTTTGGCCTGCCAAGCCTGCTCGCGCCTCCTGCGCTTCGCCCTCGCGCGTATCGCGCCGTTCCTGCCGATTGCGCCCGGCCTGGTTGGCCTTCCGCGCGTTGCAGCCTGCATTCTTTCGCCCCTCGCGGCCTCGCCGCATATGTGCTACTCGCGCTTAGGCGGGGCGCGCCGTCGCGGCGGCTCGATGCAGCGATGACCCTTGTGCGTTCCCCGTGGAAGCCGAAGCGCCAAGCCATCGGAACACGGCATGCTGAAAAGCGAAGGGCGGAGTACACCTTAGGCGATGTTTAAGAAAACCTAAGTTTTCGTCCAGAGTCTCGATTATTCTTAACTTTTCAATGTAAATCCCAAGATTTTGACAGAAGTTCTGGGTTTTCTTCAATTTCTGAGACTATGAATTTCTTAACCCATGATTTCTTAAGCATCTCGCAGGGTGTAGCCGTGGTGCTGTGCCCGTAGGTCGCCCCCCCGGGGCAACCACGCGCCTCGCGCCTCGCGCGGCCCCGGGCCGGAGAAGCGCTCGGCTCCACCTCGGGCGTGGAGAAGCAGGACCATGCACCGCTCCCGGCCAGGCCCATGATCGGTGCATGTGCTCTAGGCCATCCTAGGTGGGGTCGGGAGTATCGCCCCGCATCGCCGATGCATCGGCGATGCATCGGCGATGCATCGGCGAATCGGCTCGATGGGGCGGCGATGCGGCGAGATCCTCCGACCCCATCTACTCGGACCCCGTCTGGGAGGAGCCCTCCACCTGTTTCCCTGGCCAGGGCAGGAGAGCGCGTGCACCGATCCTGGGCTCAAGGTGGGCCTGGCTGGGATCGGCGCATGTGCATATACTTCCCGTTCCCCTATCCGCGGGGCGGCGCGAGGGCGCAAGAAGAACCGCGCCTTGCGCGGCGGCCGCAAGAAGTTGGGTGGCATACACCCTAGGCGATGCTTCAGAAAACTCAGAGTTTCGGCAAACTGAAGAAAATTTAAAGAGACTGTTCTTAATGTTTCATTGTAACTCCTAAGATTTTAATAGGCATTCTGGGCTTTTATCCAAATTCTGAGACTCTGAATTTCTTAACCTATGATTTCTTAAGCATTTCGCAGGGTGTAGTGTGAGGCAGTCCCGTGCCGATTACGGCGAGGCCGCAGCGGAGTGCCTCCAGCCTGCTGGCCAATCGCGACCACCTCTGGCGATCTCCGACGGCCAGGGACCCTTCCAGTCTGACCCAGCAGCAGCACCTCCTCCTCCTCCTCCTCCTCCTCCTCCTCTTCCCCTCCTCCTCCTCCTCCTCCTCCTCCTCCTCCCCCTCCTCCTCCCTCCCTCCCTCCCTCCCTCCCTCCCTCCTTCCTCCTCCTCCTCCTCCTCCTCCTCCTCCCTCCTCATCCTCCCTCCTCCTCCTCCTCCTCCTCAAGTCTGACCCAGCAGCAGCAGCGTTGGCCCAAGCGGGCGGAGCACCCAGCCCAGGGCGGTGCTGAGGAGCGTTTTCTGAAGCAGTGTTTGGCCGATCCGCGCGGGCCCTCGCGCTCCCTCCCCCATGGAGTAGATCTTGGCCGTGTGTTTGGCGCCTGTCTCAGGCAGGCGAAGTCTCCCCCACGGGACGCGCTTTCTTGCAAACGGTCGCGTGAAGCAGAGGTCCGGAGCCTTCCCACCCCCCCTTCCCCTTTTCCCCTCCGCCCCTTCCGCCCACGCCGAGACGCCGGATGAAAGAAAACGCTCCCCTGACGGGGTGCCACCCGAAGCTCGAAGCGATGTTGCAGCTCCCGGCCCAGCTCGCCGGCGCCCCCGCCGCCCCGGGGCCGCAGCGGGGCGCCGCGCCCGCGGGCCCGCAGGGCCTCGGCGGGGGCCGCGCCCGCGGTGCCGCGCCGCCACCGCCGGCCGCCGCGGGCGGCCCTTGGGCTTCCTAGAGTCGGGGCCTCCAGGGCGGGGGTCGCTGCAAGCGGGGGTCAGCCATTTGGGCGCCCCCAGATCAGGGACAACGGTAGGGGGGATAGGCATAGGGGAGGATGCATCGACCCCCAATTGCCCATTGATCGCCGATGGGGGCCCGATAGCCCCAGCCTGCCCAGGAAGGTGCGGATTCACGATCGGAGGCCTATCGCCGATCTATCGGCGATGTATCGCCGATTCCAGGTCGATGCATCCCCCCCTTATGCCAGTCCCCCCCTGCTGTTGTCCCTCACCAAACGGGGTGGTGACCACACCGTGCGGTGAGTCGGTGGGGATTCGGGATCACCGCACGGTTTTGGGACTCGGGTCGTTCTCCGAGGACGTCTCGGGCGGCTGGGGCATCCGAGGTCCCAAAACCGTGCGTTGACGGACCGTGCGGTGAGGTCTTGGGGGCTTTCGAGGTCGCCGCACGGTCTGTCACCGCACTGTTTCGGGACCCCAAAGCAATCGAAGAAGAACAAACGCCATGAACCTTTTTGGCGCTCCGCGCGGATTGCTTGTGTCGGCGCCTGGGTCCCCCTGGCGGCGCCAGAGGGTGGTCCAGCGCAGGTCTAAGAAATCCGCGCGGGCTGTCGACAGTTTATGCTCATGTGTTTTTTTCTTCCTCTACTGCAGGGCCAGGGGGGCATTGATCAGGAGGGGAAAAAACACACAGACACAATGAATCGTCGATTCCCCAGAAAATATGGGAAAATATGGGAAGTGGGGGGGAAGACAAAAACCCAGAAAATATAGGAAGATATGGGGAACATGTTTATTTGTGTGTATTTATTTGTGTGTCCTGGGGCCTCTTCAATTGACCCTGGCTTGGGTGCAGGATCGGATCCTGCAGGATCCGATCCTGCACTGACCCGGGCTTGCATCGACCCAGGTCCGTACGTCCCCGACAGATGGTGTCGGAGCACATGGGGTCGGAGGATCGCGTACCCCAGATTTCGTAATAAAGGGAGGGGGGTCTCATTTCGGGGGGGGGTCTCTTCCAGGCTATCTTGGAGAGCCTGGGGGGGTCTGGGGACGATGTTTTGGAGGCTTCTCCCACGGGGGAGGTCTGAAATGGCTTGTCTTGGAGGGTCCAGACCCCCTCCCTTTTATCACGAAATCTGGAGTAGCATCGCCGTTGCATCGACGATGCCGCTCGAAGCGGAGCCCGAGTTTCTCCACGCCGACGTCGCCAATGCATCGCCGACGTCGCCGATGCATCGCCGATGCACTGGCGAGGCGGTGCGATCCCCCGACCCCATCTGCTCGGACCCCACCTAGGAGGCCTTCAGGCACGACCTCGAGAGGGTCGAAAAACCACTTCAAGGGCCAGTGCCGCCCGTGCCGCTTCCACTTGGCCCCCGAGAGCTGCCCCCCCGGCGAGGACTGCAACTTCTGCCACTTCCCCCACAGCGGCCTGAAGTTCGCCCAGATGGAAGCCTTCAGTGCCAGGGCCAAGGGGCCCAGGCCGCGCACCAGGACGGGGTCGATGGAGGGCCAGCCCCGTCAGCGGCTTTCCCTGTGCAACCACCTGGACTTGGTGGGCTCCTGGAGCGGCCGCCAGCAGCCTGCCAGCAGCAACATCGTCAGCTTCGTCAGCGGGGGCGAGCTCGTGGAGGCGCCCGTTTGCGGAGCCGCGCGGCGGGACTTCGGCGCCGAGGGCAGAGAGCTGCTCAAGGCGATCCTCCTCAGCGCGCAGCCCGACCACTACGAAGACTGAGCGGGGGCTCGGCTGGAGCCGCCGGCCCACGATCCGGCCACGTCGGCGGGTCCACACACGATTTGGCGTTTCTTCCTGCCTTTGTGGCTGCAGGGGGTGGCCGGTCGTTCTCGTATCTGGAGGGCGTGCAGGATGTCTAGAGTCAGGAGGAAAAGAAACGCACAGACACAATGAATCGTCGATCCCCCAGAAGATATGGGAAACCATGGGAAGTGGTGGGGAAGGCAAACACCCAGAAAATATGGGAAGACATGGGGAACTTTTTTTCTTTGTGTGTAGTTATTTGTGTGTCCTGGGGCCTCTTCAATTGACCCTGGCTTGGGTGCAGGATCGGATCCTGCAGGATCCGATCCTGCACTGACCCGGGTTTGCATCGACCCAGGTCCGTACGTCCCCGACAGATGGTGTCGGAGCACATGGGGTCGGAGGATCGCGTACCCCAGATTTCGTAATAAAGGGAGGGGTTTTATTTGTGTGTACTTATTTGTGTGTCCTGGGGCCCCTTCACAGAGGATGGCTCGCCTGCACCATACCCGCAGCACACGGTGGGCCCCGCAGGCTCGAGGCAGGGCGAGGCGCCAGGCCGCCGCTCTCGTTGTGCTTCTCGGCTCCCACGGTTCTCGACCTTTCCTCCTCCTCCTCCTTTCGCTTCGCTTCGCTCGCGGCTCGATGTCTAATAGACGAAGCCGTTCGCGCGGCCGCGGCCGCGCGCGCGCGCCCGAGGCACGCAGTGGGGGCCACCCCCCCGACACGGGCCCCCGCCAGGAGGGCAAGGGTGAGAAGCCGCCTAGGCCTCGCAGGGGGAGGGGCGGGGGCCGAAAGGGGCCGAGAAAAAAAAGGGTGCCCAGGAGTTTCGGGGCAGAGGGAAGGAAGAGGGAGAGGCCACATGGGGGTGGCAAAGCGGGGCGGGGGGAGGGGGCTCATTAAAGGCCTGGGGAGGAAGGGAGTCCACCCCCATGAGGCCTTCACGCGGGCGGCGGCCCAGGTCACGCCTGGACCGTGTCCTCCCCCCCCTCTCCATTGAGGGGGCGTTCGTGATGGTGTCGGCGGCCGCCTTGATCCCTACGGTCATCTTGCCGCGGTAGGCGTCCGCCTCGAAGCTCTTGGGCCCTGTTACGGCCAGCTCGGGTCGTCGGATCTGCAGGCTGCAGTCCGACCTCCAGGGAGCAGGCTGCTCAAGACGGAGTCGACGAAATCGTCGAGTGGGCTGCTGTGCTCGTGGGAGGTGCCGTCGTAAATGGCGTAGAGGTTGCTGGTGGAGTCAATCCTGGTCGGTCTTCTCGTGGCAGTTCTCTCCGTAGCGTAGTGCATCTGCTCGGTCGTCCACATCAGCGACGGACCCGCTGGGGCTGCGGATTGCGCTAGTAGTACAGGTACTTCTGCAATGTGGGCGGCATGGAAGATGTGGATGGCTAGGCGGGCATGGTGGTTCGCGATCAGTCGACGTTCCGCTGCCTTGCCTCCAAGGTTTACTCTTCCCCATGGGTCCGAGGTTGTTCTGGAGGATGCTGCCGTTCTGTCGTGGATGTCGCCATCACCTTGGTCGATCCAAGTGCTGGGTGAGAGGTTGATCGTAACTCCTGCGAAGTCACCCTGTCGAATGTGCTGGTGGATCAAGTCAAGGGCGTCGTACTGGGATGGGTGTTCGGCGGAGTAGAGATCGTCGAAGGTCATAGTAGCCAGTTCCATAACCATTCCATTGTAGCATAGTCGTTGGTCCGTGATGTCGAGCAGATCATTCGGGTGTCTATCGGTGTTGGTGAGGTAAAGCAGGGATCTGTTTCTGGTCGGTGTCCGAGGGTAGTGGGCTGGTGGTGGTGGTGTAAGTTCTGCTACAGTCGGGAAAAAGGGCGGTGGTGAAGGTGATAGGTCAAGGGAGGGTAATGGGGTGACGTCGGATGCGTGGGCAGGGATGGGATGGTATAGTTCGGGGCGGCCTCTGCGTTTGTTGTCGGCTATGCTGGCCGCGTAGATCGCCTGATTGGTGGCCACGTCCTCCTCAGTGAGGGCAGGTCCTTGTAAATACCACATATACCATGACCGTCGGCATCGGGCTACCGTGGTTAGATGCTTCACTAGCTTGGCGAAGGAGTGGAAGTTCTGGCGGCATATTCTGCACGATGTACCCGATGCCCAGTTTCGCGGATGATCAGGTCGTCGGTGTTCCCGTCCGATATGTATTGCCATGCCCTGCTTTGTCTTGGTTACTATTCCGCACTCGTAGCAAATGAAGTTGCTGTCGCCGTTGTCACGTGATGGCGTGGTGCCCGCCCCGATGGGGCCGTCTGGTCTGAGCACCTTGGTCAGCTTGTCGGCGTGGGCACTGTCTTTAGAGGCGCGGATGTAGTTTGTGACAGCCAGGTTGACGGAGTTGGTGAAGTGCCTCGGCGTGGTGCGAGCCCATGCGATGATGTCGGGGTCGAGCTTGCTGGTCGTGGGCCAGCGCTGGTCGTCCAGGTATGTGCGCAGGAAGTCGAAGTCCTGGAAAAGCATGTATGTCCATGAGCCCTTTCTCCGTCGCTGGTTGTCAAGCAGTTGTAGGAGCTGCTGAGGAGCGTGTCGTAGAAGCCGTGGTAAGTATCGCAGCCGTCCAGCAGACTGGTGGTGGTCGAAGTCGGGGATGCCGGTGTAGGCTACTACTTCGGTGGCCGTGAAATGATGAAGCTGCGAGTTAACTTTGGGTAATCCAGCTGCCGTGCGATAGGGCTTCGAGTAAGCGTTGGATATGCGCTGGTGGTCAGTCTGAGTCAGTGCTGGCCAGACGTGATGGTTGAAGGTCAATGAGGCAGTCGAGAGGGCGTGCACGTACTTGATCTTCGTTTTGCGGGGTAGGCGTCGACGTCTTAGGATTTGCCTCTCCAGAGCTCGTGCCGAAGCGTCGGTTCGTTGCATGCGATTCTGCACCTCGGGGCCCATGCTGCCGTTGGTTATGATGGTGCCTAATAGTCGGTGCTGGTCTGTGATTTGGACCGAGATCGACATGATGCTCAACTTGATTGATGTAATGTTTTGCTGTGCAAGCCTGCTGCGCACGACGTTGGAGCCCGTCCCGTTAAAGGAGATGATGACCTTGGTCTTGTCTGGGTGTGGCTTGAGCCCGTATGTAAAGGCTGTACGGCATAGACGTTCAGCTGAAGTTCTCGTAATGTCAATGATGTCGGAGTGGTGTGTGGTCGAGTTGAAGTCGGTGAGGTCGTCGACGAAGGACACGTTGGTCAGCTTGCCGCCTTGGTGAGGGGCCGTAGAGAAGAGCGGGTTGTCGCAGGGGCTGATGTGGTGGCCGCTTTCGCCGTCTTCTGCCCCTTCAGCGTCGTCGGCGATGGCCTGAAGCACCAGGGAGAAATGCATGTTGAAAGCTGCGTCGGAGTATGGCACCCCTGGCCTGGTACTGGTGCGAGGGATCACGTATGCGTCGGTGCCCTTGGCGGTCATCCAGTTGGCCGTGTGGTGGTCGGCAACTAGGGCGCAGAGGTGAGAGTCGTCGACGTGGGCGTTGAGATGTGCTGGGCAGCGAAGACGTTGTCGTAGGGATGGGAGTAGGCATATGGGAATCTCGATGTTGTCGATGACGTCTTCGAGCTCGTCCTCCTGAGTCGGCAGCTGAAAAATGAACTCCTTTATTACCGAATGGAAGGCTTCTTTCAAGTCCAGGAAGAGGATGCTGCCCGTGCGAGCCTGTGTACGGCAGTCGTCCAAGAAAGTGTAGGCGGTGTGAGTGATGAAGTCGGTCGCCTTGTGAGGGACGGCGCCGCATTGTGTGTCCATGAGCAGGTCGGGTAGGATGTCGCGGAAGAGGCCTCTCAGGAACTTGCTGTTGATCTTTCCTATAGTGTTGTTCAGGAGGATGCCCCTGTATGCTTTCTGCAGATGAAGCTGTCCTTGTCCTTTGGAGAAATGGGTGGAGAAACCGCCCTTCGCCGAAATAGGCTCCGTCGTCATCATTTGCATCTTCATCATGATAGGGTGCAGAAGTCGGGCAATCTGGCGCGGCGCTGCTCGTGCCATGTCGTCGGTGTTCCCGTCGGGCCCGCCGCGTTTGCCTTTCTTGGCGGCTGCCAGGGCGGATGTCAGATTGTGGATGGTCTGGACGTTGTCGATGTGGGGTATCGGCTTGGTGTGGGCAGTCTTGTTGTTGTAGTACTTGACGACGCCTTCGATGTCGGTGTTGATGCCGTTCTCTATGTTGCCGTAGTATCGAAGGGCGTGCTCCGCAATGGCTTGTGGCGTTGTAAGTGGAGCGCCGTCATCGTCTTGTCGTATTTTGGGAGTCGGAGTTCTCTTAGGTGTGCGGCCGCCGTATGTTAGTAATGCCCTCACGTTTGCCCATTCCTGCCGCGGGGCGTTCCCTGCAGCTGATAGTATCATGTTGTCGGAGAGGCGCTCGAGGTGGGCGTCGCGGTCGTGATCGAGGCGGTTCCTAAGAACTCTGTCGGTATCTTTGATGAAGCTCATGTATGAGTCGAAAAGGTTTGTAGTGAAGGTGGTTGTGCAGTGGGTGCTGTCGTGGTATGGAGCCGTAGTCTGGTCGGGGTCCGCGTGGTTGATAAAGAGGATGGTCTTGATCATCATCTGAGTATATCCAGGGATGTCCATGAGGTGGATGACGTCGTCAGGGGACGCTGAAGCCGTCTGGTTTGCGATGAGGTGCGCGGTGTATCGGATCCGTCTGCGTGATATCTTGGAGCCCATGCCATTCCTTTTCACGATGCGGATCGTCTTGAGGAGGGTGCGTCGAAAGCGAAGAAGCGCGTATGAGGCCTCGGTAATGTAGGGCTTGCGTGGGGCATGATGCTGCTTCTTGAAGCTGGCGTAGGCTGCGTCCTTTATCTGATCGACGATGCTCTTAGTATGGTCGTTGAGGTTGGTCTCCCAGGGGGGGTGTTGGATCTGCTGCAGGCGTCGTTGAAAGTCGTTCTTGGCTGTCTCGGAGTCGAGCTTAGCGATGTCGAGCTTGGGCGTGCCGTGCTGGTATGTGGTCTCGACGATATAGGCGAGGTTAG